TGCCCATGCTACCCTCGTCTCTGCCACAACTCCCTCGGGTCAATTTTGCACTGGCGCAACAACACCCTGCTGGCCCGCCATATGCCCCTCAATCACAAAGCCAACCCCACTTACCACAGTGCACTCGTGCCATGGCCACAGTGTACCCACCACCCGTCAGCACCTGGAGCCAACGCACTCCACCAACCACAACACTGGCTCCCATATCGCATACCCTTCCTAATAACTCTACCAACTATCCCGACCAATCCAAACGCCAAAGCCCATCGTACGCCTCAAATTCTGCCGCTATATCTCCCACTCTTTCTGCATACTCTGTACATACACCCACTCGGCTTTCCCCATCCTTCATCGACAGAAACTCCCCCTACCGACCCGTTCGGCAAGTCAACACGCTGCTGTATCCTCCCCCATCCGCCTCCATGAACCACGTTCGCCATCTCCCGCTCGACCAGATGCACTACCAGCCATTGGGGAAGGCCGTAACCGAGCGGAAAACTGGCGTCCTGCCTTACTCCCATAACAGCAACAGCGGTGAAATGTGGTGTGAATCGCAACCGTACCTGCATTCCAGCTTTCCAAAACATCATCATCAACATCATCAACATCATCAACAACAACAACAACAGCGGCAATCACTATATCCCACTCAATCGTTTCATTGAAACAGTTGAAACCAACCATCCCAAAACACTGAAATATAAAGAAGCCCATAGATAACTATTGACGATCCAATTTATTGCCACAACTTGTCAAGGGCGCACACACTTGGTGGTTTTGGCGGGTTTTCCGTATTGTTTTTGTTCTCTGGTTTTCTCCCGCACTGTTTCAGTAACTAGCGAGGCTGTACAACGCGGTTTCCCACTCATTCTCCAGTTATTGACTTGACTTTTCTTCCTAATATTTTTACTCGATGACGAATACCAGTTTTCCATTTCAAACCATTACCAGAACAGAGCATTGGATCGGAGTTTCGCTTTAGATGGGTTTTAACCATTTTATTTGATTGGTCTTTTTTTGTTTCCCCTTCCATCTTTGTGGGTATTTATTATTATTATTATTATTATTATTATTATTATTATTATTTGGCTTTTCTTTTCTCTGATTATTTCTTTATTCTATATTTGAAGCCCTTTCTCGATTCGTTTGACTTTTTTTACTTCTCTGCCTTTCTCCCCCTTTTTTTGTTGTTTAAGGAATTTCATAATGATTTGCATAGGAATTTCATCCCAGGAGAGCTGTGTCCTACATTCCTGCATTCTACTTATTTTGATTTTTATTTTATCTGCTAGGTGGTGGTTGTGGAGGACTGGCTGGCTTTCTGAGACCTCCTCCTGCGTTGGTGTATAGTTCTGCTGCGATATTATGACAGGCAATTGCAACCAGTTCGAACATGCGCAGCTTGAAACTACTTGACTCGAGTGAGGCATCCTGGTATGCTTGTGCACGCTGTAACCCACGATAAGCACTACTAAACTGGGGTTTGAAATATGAGAGCAGCTATCTAGAAGAATGTAAAGAAACATCACTAACATCGGCGGGAAACGTTACACCGCCAACATGGAAGCGCCTAAGATATTCCCAGACAATTTCTCTCGCCTTGTTACTTGGCATCAGATTCTGAGAATACTCTGGTCGTGGCGTGGGTAAATAGTATTCAAAGTAAGCGTCACGGGTGGGGATGCCATCGACAACCTGCGCAAACGTTTCGAAGGCAAGCCTTGTAGATAGAACATTCAATATGGCTTGTTCCAGAGCGACAAAGTGCTCAGGCCCGAGATCGCTCGCTGGTGAGCTAGCCGCCATGAGGTGAGATATCGGGGGTCCAAACACAAGTGAGCCGAATACCTCAAAACTATTCGTGTTCAAGCTCTTAGTGATGAGATGCAGGTGCGAAGTCATCATGTGACGCCCTAGCCGCGGCATCGAACTCTAATTGGATAATCGCTAAATTGACGCCCAGTTCTAAGCGCCCTGGCCTGATATTGCATTCAAGTTGCCAGATGCGACAGGATATCAACAAGTTACTCCCATGTGAGACAGCTCTGCCTCTGGCTGAGGATCAAGTAATGCTTTCACTCAACGACATGTAGAGCGGCAGCTTTTCGCTCCTTGCAAAATTGCCATCCACTCTCTGCGTACTAGTATCTTTCGTGGTAGGCAGACTCTTGCTTTTTCGAGCCTGCCTGGCTTGCTCCAGTCCAGTTTCTTTGAATACAGCTTCATATTTCTGATCTTACTTTATTTCAATGATGGACACTCGGACATCATCATTGCCGCACGTCCAACGCAGGGCTCACGCATTACGGAATACCCA